ATTTACTTTATCAGCTAAATATTAGTGAAGAGGTGGCACAGAATTCAAAGCTAACATTTTCCCAATGATGTGAACAGCATTTTATATGTAAAATGACATCTATCTAGTGAATGGTCACATCTTTATTGGTTTGAAAACAGAACATGTGTAGTTTGGCATTATATCTCTGCAGAATTTTAAAAGTTACCATTTAAGGTATGGCTTTTGGGACATCAGAAATAAACTAGCATCCTGAAGAATGAACTCAAATTTTAAGGTGCTAATTATTTAGACCACAAACAAGGCAGATTATTGGGATGATTTGTGTTTCAATTTTAAATTCGTTGACAACAGAAAGAAAAAGGAATATAAAAGTAAGATACACATTATACTAAGTTGCTTTTGGAATAAAAGGTACAGATCAACACTGAATGTGAAGAAATTTTACTGCAATAGTTTTCAAAGCAGTAAGATGTTCAAAAATATATTGGCACATTCATAATACCTGTCTCAAAGTAATAATGCATAATATACACGGATATAAACAAATGGAACACAAGGCAGCACCTCTCCTTCCTGGCATCAGCACCTGCTGTCTAATGGATCGAGACAAAATACTGTGCCTTCAAGAGTTAGTCCCATTTTGAACCCCTCCTGTAAAACAGAATAAAAATCATTAAAATACAAAATGCTATGACAAAGTAAAATAAAATCAAATCAGCAAGCCAGAGTACCAATGAGTAGAAGTTCAAATCTTTGTACTTTGATCAACTAAAAAATAATTACCTGCCAAATGTTGGCTAGTCAAATTTTTATATCAAGATATCTCATAGGCAAGTTTTTATATTCACTAACATTTTAATGTTTTAAGTGTATGTCGGATTAGCGTGCATGAAAATCAGAAGAAAAAGGCTGTATATAAAATTAAATTGACTCTAAGTCTTAAGTCTTGCATCTTTCTGTTCACAGAACCTATTTGTTACTCTATCATTGCTTCAATTCTTCTGTTGGCTTTAAAGATTGTTATTAAATATGACTAAGATAGCTACCCTTCGAGATAGCCTGTTAATTTTCGTATTTTCTTCCTACTTTCCACCACCCAAAGGCTGCATAAAATCGTTGTTGTTAATGTGATTCCATAGCCTAAGCTTCCCATACAGTCCTGCCACTGCTTTTTAGCAGACTGGCACCATGAATATGTTTTAGAAGTTAAGTGGCCATTGATTTATTGAGCATATGTACGTAACTGCAGTGAATTTTGTGCTTCTTTTCGCACGGGTGCTGCTGGCCAAGGAGAGTGTCCTCCACTCCAAGTTCTCACGCACTTTGGAGAAGACAATCGCACTTTTAGGCCATCTCTTTTCTCACCATCTCATCCCAACCCCCCTGCCTGGGCCTTAAATCTGTGCACACTGGGGTACAGAGGTGAAAACCCCAGACTTGAGTTGATCAGTGGAACTAGAAGTCACATTGTAGGTTGCCTTGTAGAAGTGTGGCAGTGCCCTCGTTACTTTCATTTAGAGTAAGTATTTAAATGTACTTATATTTGTACAAAATCCAAGTAAATATTAGCATATGGAGGGAGAAGTACTTATAAAGCTGTAAGGCACACTTCACTTGTAATTGATGTTCAGAGAACATTCTTCATTATGTTCATAGCACAGAGACTGCATAACACCATCCTGACCACAAAGGCTTTTGTAATCTCCATCCTTTACTTGGCATATTAAGTATGCTCCAGTGGGTAAAGCTCAGAATAATCACCATTATTTTTTAAAACCTGTTATTATCACAGAAAGAAATACTTTGTCTCATTTATGTGTAACTTTCCAAACGCCACCAAACACTTTGAAAAGTGAATATTAAAAATTGGAAATATTTATAAATAAACTATTCCTTTACATATTTTATTTGGATATCTGAAGAGCTATGCATTATGTCATCTTCTCATGTATTATCAATGAGAGATAAATGACAGATATGATAGCTACGGAAACAAATAATTATCTTTGGGATGGTTTGAAACCATTCAATGTTTTTAAAGTATATTGGTTCATTTGGACATTAAACCAGTATTATTTCACTTATCTTGAAAATAGTATTTATCAATGTATTGTCAACATTGGAAAGACAGAAAAACAATCAAAGAAAAATAAATGTTTATAATTATTTCAATAATAAAGCATTTGAATATCACTTACAATATTTTTATGCTGATTTTTAAGGATACTCTGAATGTCCTTAAGTTAATAATCATCCCAATTGACAGATTCATTACTATAAAGTTCTTTGCTTTTCTTTCCTCCTAAAATAAAATTCTCATATACTTCGTGACTTTCCTTCAGAAATTTCATTTTGTAAGTCAGTTTTAATGAAGTCAAAATCTTTTAAGATTTCCGTATTTCCTGGATTTTAAACTTCTGAATAAACTCGAGTCTTATTTACTTCATGTAGAGATTGTAGTTATCATAAACTAATACATGTCACAAAAAGAATGATTTTATAATTGATTAAAATATTAATCATAGTTTTCATATAAAACATTTTGCTTATATGGAAGAAAGGTTTATTTTGGCTCGTTTTCCTGTTTGGAAATAGAGAAAAGCATATGAAGGTGGGAAAAAAAAATTTATATGTGTTATGGCATGTATCTAGAGGCATCTTCTCAATACCTCATTTGCTCATGCTCATTTGCCCATTTGCCTTATTTGCCTCATTTGCTTATTTGCTCAAAGCCTCATTTGCTCATGCTTTTCAAAGGTGGCTGAATCTAGAGTGTGTGAATAAAGATTAAGGGTGTAATAATTATATTAGTCCATTGATTGGCTTAGCATAGTTCTGGGTGTGGATAAGGGGAAGGCACAACATAGGTGTGGGTGGCACCAATCAATAGGCTTGTAGCCTAGATGGGAAAAAGGGAAAGGAAGGCTCACTGCTGCTGCTGCTTCCTGCCTACCCTGCCATGAACTGTTTCTCCTCTGCTATGTTCCTCTGCCATGCCATCCTGGCTTGGAGCTAAGTGACTGTGTCCTGAAACCTCTAAAAACTGTGAGTCAAAATAAACCTTTTCTGCTTTAACTTGCGGGTGTCAGGTATTTTGTCCCAGCAGTGAAAAAGTAACTAAGACAATATACACTTGTTACATGTTGAGTTATGTCCTTTGAGCTTCTATTTTTTTCTATCTGCTGTTTTTTAAGTTATTTAAATTATAATATAATTTTCTCATATTTGTAATGTATTACATATATATTTATAATTTTCTATTTTCCTGTTAGCAAAATTCAAAGTCTGTATTAAAGTTACTGGAAAACTAATTCATCATTATATACTATTAATTTTTATAATAATTCATTTGTTTCTAGTACTTTACAATCATGAAAAAGGTTAATAGGATATTTGGACACATAGAGTCTTAATAAATTTATAATTATTTTCTCCTCAGAATATATTGTTTTACAGATTTTGATACCAAATAAAAACACAAATATTAATAAAAATTACTCCCCAAAGGGATACTATAAACTAACCTTGGCCTAGCAATGATTTAGAATGCTTGTTTTATTACAGCTTCACTTTTACTGATTATTAGTAAGAAAATGAAATTGTTAAACTGCTACACCAAACAGGCATTTACACTTTTTTGTGTGTTTACTTTGATTAGATGGAACATGTTTACATATATGTTGGCCATATGTGGTCTTATGTGAACTACTGATTTCTATTAATTTGCCGATTAAGTGTTCTAATTATTTGTTTACTTGTTTTAATAGGTATAGGTAATGTGTTTATATATATACTAAAATAGAAAATTCTAAACCTTTATAAAACAAAATGTTTACATATTTTACTTATAAAATTTTCCCTCTAATTCAAGACTCTAATGAACATTCAATTATTTTCTAATGTGTTTAAAGGCCTAATGCTTTTAAAATTTGGGTACTGGTGTAAGTTTCACCTGTACACTGATTGTGCTTCTCCAAAATTATAACTAGTTGATTTAGCACCACTTGTGCATAATTTTTTCATCTTTTGCTCATGTGCTAGTCTTCTTTTCTAATGTATTAAGATATTATAGCTCATGAAATACACTATCAGTACTATCCTACTGCTGTATCAGTACTACCCTATGGCTGGAGCTATGAGATAAACATGCCACATAGTTTAAATTATCAGATCAAATTACTATATTATTGATTTCAAATAAACATCTAGTTTTCTAATTATTAAAGTGAAATATGACATTTCTGCTTAAATTCTTGCATGCATTAGATATTTCTGTGATTTCAAACAACTCAATTATTTTAAGAATAGCTTAATCACAACCTTCTTTAAATGAAAGATGACTAAATATTTCACTAAGCTTATTAGTTCAATCCAGTATTCAGAACTTATTATACTGTATTGTTTTTATATGATGCATAGAGAAATAGTGCTAAATATGGACATTAGATTAATTAGCATGGCAAGATTAATAACAAAACTCAGCATACAATTTAGATCAAGAAAATATTATCTTATTTTAGTTAAAGTGACCTTGCAAGTTAATTGTAGACTAAAAGAAACAAGCAATAAGGCAAACAATTCGATAGTGACTAAATCATCAAAAAGAACCTTCAAATGTAGGTTATGAAACCTTTGTAAACACAATTAATACTCAGACATACGCATATGGAGCTATTTATTTATTAAATAAATCATGCAAGTATTAAAGTTTTAGCTTTCAAATGGTTGTAAGTTGTTTAAAATTATTATGAAAATAATATACCAACCATCTCTGGCGCTACCCAACATGAAAGCAGAAAAGAATAAAAAGAAGATATTAAGAAAATATTAGCAACAGCAAAGACAACAACTAAAGCATCATAGTTTAACATTATTTAGATAACATATCACCAAGTCATCCTAACGCAATGTTTCTCAAACTTGGTTACTACAAAAATTTGGAGCTGGAGACTTGTATTTTTAAAACTCTATTAGAGAGTTTTTCAATTTTGCGATAATCTAAAAAAAAAACAACTTTCATTGGAAAGTAGTACTTGTGATGTGCATCACCCTTAACAAATACTACCCCGCAGGGCCCACATTTGTGTTTGTTCCTACAAATCCATTAGTCTCAGGTAGTACCAGCCTAACTGCAAAAGGAATGAAATAGGGTAGGAACAGACTTCACATGAAATACAATATTCTCATTAATTAATCATGTGTTATTTCAGGGAAAGTTTCATACTCTCTGAAAAATGGAAAAGGTATGCCATCAGGCAGGATACATTTTGATATAAACAAATTTGATATGGTCATTTAAGACAAATAATGACATTCACCTTATGACATTAAATGTCTTAATATGAATGTTGCATTTACTTATTTATATTTTTATTTCATATTTGTATAAGAACTCTGAAGATAAGTTGTTTATAACTTTTGTGGCAGATATTTAGAAAATTTTGTAACAATTTAAATTTAAGCATCTAAAATATTTTTATTTAAATGGGAATTAGAAATCACCCAATTTGAGAATACTGTTTTAACAGATTCTTTGAAAAGCTCAAGGCATATATTAAATATTTCAACTAGTAAAATGCAGACATGTTATTAAATCTGAATCTAAATCCTAAAAACTTTCACGTACTACTTAGAAAACAGAAGAGAGCTGCAATTGAACATGAGCAGAAGGGTATTTACATTATGTTGCCAGGGGAAAAATGCATTTACTCTTGTTAGATTCAAGTCCACCCATTAGTTTTCTGTTTTCATTTTTTTTGGGGGGGGCAGGTAGGGAAAAAAACTAAAACACAGAAAGTGTTTTAGGACTAGTAAACAGAAATACTTCCTTCAGCTTACTTTAGTGCCTTCACAGTGTCTTCTCAAAGAGCTTCACATAATTGGTGTCTGTCTGGATTCTACCATACATAAACTTTTTGATGAAAAATAGGACATAATAGTTTCATCAAAATGTAAAGGGTAAATATAAATAGCACTCTTTAACCCTTGTAAGGCTAGTTATTAATCATGGCTTATTATTCACAACTTTTAAGGTTAATTTCTTCAAACATCCAGAGCAATTTAGAATTGAAAAATGAGAGAGAGACAAGAAAACCCAAGTGGACTACATTCCTAAAGAAGCTGTCACTGGTGTCTGCTTTTTTAGTAAGAGCCCAGAAATTGTTAAACACAATACAATGCTTCTTTTCAGATGGAATGATTTTGTTCTGACAAAGATTTTTCCCTCCTTTCTCATTCATAATTTTAAAATTCATAACTGTTAAGACTCAGGTCAAACCTTGTAAGTGGAAGGCACTGACCTTTTAATTTCTGGATTTCAAAACAACAAACCATTAAAAGCTATGTCTTTTGTGTAAAAAATGAACCATCTTCTTTCCACTGTAAATTAAATTATTAAGAAAACCAACAATTTAATCCTTAGCATGTGTAGAAGTACTTTTAGGACTAAGTGCAATTATTTTTTAAAGTAATTATTTTAAAGCAGTTTGTATAGGAGCAACATATCAAGGTAAGGGTAGTTTGAGTATATATGATTTTCTTTCTCCCAGATTAAAAAGAAACAAGCCGTTTACTGTCCAATCTGTTAAAATAGTCACCTGCATTTCATCTAATTTTGATTGAATATCTGGAGGGAAATCCCCTGCACCACAGTTAAATGGGTCAAAAGGTTCTGCTCCAAACAGGTCCCGTTCTAAAAGGAAGAAAAAAACTTGTTAAATGAAATGACAAGAGCTGAGCAGGGATAGGTTAGGCAGGAAAACGTAAATCAACATGATGTTCACATGATCAAATGAACCACTATCTGTACTTGCACTTTATGTTGCGCTTTCTGGAGTTTAGGCTAAACAAGGGAGCAAAGATCCATTGGTGATACTAAACACTGCTTGATTACAAAGAGGTATTATCCAGAGAGGTTTTTTGTTTCCAATGATGACTTCCTATTGGTCACTAAATATTTACTAATTAATGCATTACAATGCCTACATTTTTGCACCATTTTAAATTTACTAAAGTTTACAAAAACTTATTGAAACTTCTCTTATTCCATACATTGTTGTTCTGCAACACAATGTAGAACTGAGTAAATTAGTTGGTAGTTTTACTCATAGGTCATGTGTTTTTAGCTTACCCAGGGAAAACTTAAGGCACATTATCTCATGTAGTAGAAAATCTTATCATCTTTATAGATAATCACAACGAGACATTTTTCAAATAAAAGTTCTTCTTGATCAGAAACAAGTGTATTTTTAAAAAATAGGAGGAATACAGTATCAAAAAAGCTATTACATTTTAGGTCTAGACTGTTCCTCCAGTGGCTTGTGTTCAGAGAAGAGGCTTTGGGAGGTGATATACATTCTCTAAATTCAATGCTATATAATGATATATAAGAAGGAATATATTTTTCTACTTTATTTCTACCACATTCTCAAAAGTTATTCTGTGACTCATTATGCTTTCCAGTTATCATTTTTTTCCAATTTCTCATATAAAATTTATAAACGGTAAACTGCTTGGAAGTTTCTTGCACTGGTAAGTGTTGTATAAATAGGAGGGACATACAATATAGTATCAATTAAAGTCACTTTTAAAAGTGAAAGGAGCACTCCCTAGTTGCACCGAGACAAAAGCTATAAGCTGGAGCTGCCCTGAACAAACGGGAGTTTATGACTTAATATATCACTGATGCAGATTACTATTGCTCTTATTACTTACTTTCCTTTGTCTGATGTGGCTCTGGAATAAATCAAATTTAAGAGAACTGAGAAACTTCTCTTTGGAAGAGTGTCCTGATAACCACTATACCACAAGCATACTGAACAGTACTGTTTACATAGTAGGTATGCTATGTCTCATATCTAGATGTCCCCTAAAGACTCATGCAGTCAAAGGTGGGGATTTTTGGAGGTGACTGGATCTAGAGGGTGATGCTGGGATAAAGAGTGGCCCACCCTGGGTGTGAGTGCTACCCACCTAAAGGGCAGGCAGCCCGATGGAATATAAGGACAGAAAGAAGCTGTTTAACTACTTTGCTGCTTTGCTGCCTTCTGCCTGCCACGAACTGTTTCTCCTCTGCAACACCACTCTGCCTTGCCACCCTGGCCTTGGAGCTAGCCGACAGAGGAGGGAAACCTCAACAAATTGTGAACTGAAATAACCCTTTCCTCCTTTAACTTTGAATGTCGTTAAATTTGTCTCAGCAATGAGAAAAGTAACTAAGACAAGGTTTGTTCAAAAGAAATGACTTCATGAAGGAGAAGAATTGCTGACCATGGAAACAGAAATTTTTATTATGGAGACTTTCTCAAACTGGGACTTAGGTATCTCTATATCTCTAGAGATTTCAGGTGGGCTTCAAGGAGTACTCGATAGTCCTGAAACGCAGTGTGTAACTGAGGGTGAGGGAGTTTGCTGTATTTTTCTGTGAAGTTTCTAACGCATTCTCCAGAATCCATGATTCCTCTACAAGTTAGCAATTACACTACATATTAGTAAAGATATTAATTCCCCGCAAATTAATAAATATTGTAGAACTCATGGATATACTCTGATCAGCTCAGATGGGTCTAAAATTCATAACAAAATCATAAATTTAGGGCTGGGGATTTAGCTCAGTGGTTTTGCTGCCTGCCTTGCAAGCACAAGGTCCCGAGTTCGATCCCCGGTACCAAAAACAAAAACAAAAAAATCATAAATTCAATTTCTATGAAAAAGACTGCTATGTATCTAAAATTAAAATTAGTTGCATTCAATGAAGGGGTGCCAAAATAAAAACAAGTAGGTCATACTTTATTCAGGAATTCTTTTTGCCAGGTATTTTGCTGGGCAACAGATTAAACTAGTAAAGAAAGGACCCCATTCGTTTCCTCACAGAAGTTATAGCTAAATAGAGAATAGGCTATTAAATAAAATAAAGTCTCATACGTCTTCAAAGGGGAGACACATCATTCATTGCAATGAGAAACAGGATTGAAAACATGTTCTAAGGAACTACTGGGATTCTTAGGCACTAAAAAGAGAACCTCAGAGACCAATCTTATAAGCTTTTGCTTTTATATATTTATGTAAATAATAACTGAAAAACAAATACATTTAATAGTCCATTTAGAGAAGAAGTTATTTATTTAAAAACCCAGCTGGATTAAAGTTTTAGAAAAATTTGGTAACTACAATTGAGTGGGCAACATGTCCTGACATGCTTAATCTATCATCTATCCATTTTTACAGAATTTTGATAAGAAGAAACACTGAAAAATATATCGAAGTGTTATTTCAGTTACTCACTAACAAATCTCTTGAAACCATTTGAGGATCTTGGCCTACATCTTCCAAACTTAACAGCATTTAAAACAAAAATCAGTATTTTCCTTCTCTACTGCTTTTTTTTCCCCTGTGAACAATGTTTGATTAAAAATCCTGCACTATAATTTACTTTCAGTCCGGATCCTAAATATTATTCCTTCTAAATATCTTCAAATCTATTCACTCTTGTCAATATATATTTCAAGTTGGATTAAAATTGGAATTTCATTTGTCTTACAACTGCACAGAATTCCATTTTGCATATCCAGTACATCTTCTTTATCTAGTTATCATTCGATAGACATTTAGGTTATTTCTATTTTTTTTGAATATTGTGGATATTCCTGCAATAAACAAGGATGTGCAGATGTCTCTTCAACATACTGATTTCATTTCCTTTGGACACATACCAACTGTGTTGGGATAGATGGAACATATAGTAGTTCTATTTTTAAATTTTTGAGGAATGTTCATACTGTTTTTTATAACCACTGAAGTAATTAACATTCCCACGCTTGGAATTGCATGTAAAGGTTCCTTTTTCTCCATGTCCTTGCCAGCACTTGTTATCTTTTGTCTTTTTGTAATAATCGTTCTCACTGGAGTGAAGTGAATTTCCTTGTGGTTTTGATATTAATTTCTTTAATAATAGGTCATGTTGAGCATTTTCATACACTATAGGCTATTTTGCTATCTTGTTATAAGAAATGTCTATTCAGGTCTATTGCTCATTTGTTAATTGGGTAATTTATTCTTTGCTGTTGTTTCTTGAGTTTCTTACATATTCTGGATGTTCATCTCTTGTCAGATAAAATAGTTCTGCAAGTATTTTCTTCCATTCTGTAGATCATCATTTCATGCTGTTGGTTGCTTCCTTTGCTGTGTAGAAGCTTTTCAGTTTGATGTAATCCCATTGCTGTATTTTTGCTTTTATTTGCTATGTTTTTGGGGCTTTATTAAAAAAATTCTTGCCCATCCAATGTCTATTTTGAGATAATGTTTTGAAATACAGTAATGTTTGTATGCTAGTTTTCAAGGTAATGTCATTATTTTGTATTTACAAATCAGTAATCCAAAATACACTGCTCACACAATATGAGCAATGTACTTTGTTAAGTTCCATAGGGAGAAACAAGCCATAGGCCCCTGTCATGTATGGAAGCCTTCAGCTAATACTTGAAGTTATACTCAGAATGACTTGCTATAAACTAGAGAAAATGCAAAGAAGTATAACATGTGAAGTCTTTTCAGCTTTCCTTGGGCTTAGTGACTGACTCAGGTCAATATACAGTCAAAACATTAAAAATGAACATCTGTTGAATGCTTTCTAATTTATCTAAGAGTAACTTTGCTGTCCCTTCCAGATATATAGTAGATAAAGCAAAAAAGTAATGTCTTTGTACAAAAAGAAAAAAAACCCTTACATAGGGTGATTATATAAACAAGTCATGGCATTCATATAATTTATATAATTTTCAACTCTGTGCCTTTGATTCTATGATAATAGCAGCATTTAAACCATGTTCTATTAAACATGTCAAAATGACTAACATTACCATCAGTTTGCTTCTAACAAAGTAAAACATTAAAATATCATTCTAAATGAAATAAAAATACAATTAAATTACTTTATCATTTAAATAAACCATCACCATTATGTCGTTTTTCATACAATAGGTTAAAATTGCAAAGAGGGGTGTCTTTAGTAGTATGCTCTAAAACATGAAAATTAAGTAGAATTAATTGAATCTAGTACATACAGAAGAACATAATACTTTATTAAAATCGTTAGTGAGCTTATTAAGAAATGTGATTTCCCAGAGAGTATTAAACACTCAAAATGTACCCAGATATGGCAAGAAACACCGACTTCCTTAGAAAGCTTACTCATTTCTGTAGCTCTACTAGGTCCTGGGGGTGGCTGCATGCCGTTGCGAGTAGCTACTGAAGACTGGTCTGAAACTGGAGAAAATGGAATCATATCAAAGATGTCCGTGGAAGGTGGCTTGGGTGCCATGTTGCCTGCCTGCAATGAAGAGGACAGGAATTAGGGTAGACCTTCACGTGAACACATTACAATGATCAGTCTCTCATATGCATAAGAAACGCATGGCAACAGCAAATCCAGTTGAATCATAGAAGCTTGCCATTTTTTACATCAATCATAGTTACAAATCAATAATTCAAATGGTTCAGACTGTTAGGCCAAGTCATCATTTGCAAGAAAGGAATAGAAAATTTCTACAAAAATGTTCTCAAAGTTCATGGTACAAATGGTGACAATACTGTTCTGGATGAATATATAACCGACATAAGGTTTTTTGTATATGTAGAAATAACTGACATTTCTGTGTATATAAAGCATGATTTCAGTAATATACTTTACATAAAATTATAAGTTTTAAAGAGACATAACTGAACATAAGTGTTTATCTTCCTATTGAACATGTTTATCTTCCTACAAATATTCAAATGCAATTAACAATTTTTTACATTTTTTAAAGTAGAATATATTTTGACTCCTATTTATGAGTACAACTGTTATTTATTGCAGTATATTTCATTCCTGCAAAATTTAATCATATTGTCTATAATAAATAGCTATCCTGTAAACTAAATAATCACGAATGTAGCACAAAAATTATTGAATTATCTAATGTGGGTCAGGACTGAATAAATATACGGAAACACAAGTAAAAATTGTATAAAATTATGGAAAGAAGTATGTAAAAGTGACACAACCATCACTTTGTCAAATGGGAAAAAATACATGCAAAATCTTCTATCAAAACCATCTGACTTGATCAGGAATAAAAGAGGATTCCCATTTTGGGGAGGAATAGAAAAAAATTTTACTTTTCCTATAAGAGTATGGAAAGAGATTACTGAAACAGTTCATATTAAAGTTAGAATTCTAAGAATACATTTATTTTTCTGAATCACAGATGATACAAATGATGAAAAAATAGGGTTAAACAGAGAGTGACAGATTTTTGATTCAGTTAAAATGATTGCTAGTGCATTTTTTCCTACAGGGAAATGCCTGTCAATTTGTTTACTTTCTTGAACAATTTCCTTACTATACCTTCCTCCCTTTCCTCTTATTGAGGAATACTGTTGTCCTACTCCTCTCAGCCCTCTGCCTCTTCTGGTTCTATCTTTCTTCTCCTTAGTATGTAAAAGTACTCAAATCTTGTCTGTCACTGAAAACAAAACCTAGCCAAAAATATTTTTCCTGTCTCTCATTACTTCTCCAGCTTCTGTCTTGCTTCCTAGGCCTTTCAGGACTAAGCTCTGTGAAAGAATCACTAGTCTTCCTGTTCTAACTTTTATTTCATCACTTAACACAGATCAATCTAGGCTTTATTTTTTTTTAAAACTAAAGTCTATTGAAATTGCTTTTAGCCATATCACTAATGACCTCATTTTGTAGCTGCCATATCTGACTGGTCCTGTGAAGTACTTGACCTATTTCATCTTTTTGGGTTTCTCCACTATCACCACTCTCTACCTGAAACTCTGATAGCAAAGAAACAAATGCACACCAAGATTGCAGATCCCATCACACTTAGTCAAGATAACCTGGCTTTTTATTACTACCTTAGAAAGCACATTCTGGGATAATGTAAGAAAACATAAGGGGAATAATAAAAAAGGATTATCTTCTTCGTGAATTACATGAGGTCTTGGAATGCTGTTCTTACTGACAGGCTTGGGAAGGTCATTTTTAGAAGGCGGCGGTATTAACAGTCCCAGTGATAGTCTGGAATCAGGCGAGGTGATAGGAGTGACAGAAATGGAAGACACATTTAGACAGGGAGGTGAATCATCACTACTATGCCAGAAAGAAGATGAGCATCTCAGAAACCCACGTGGCTCATGATCACATATTTTGTGCTGCAGCTGTAAAGGAATGACAGAAAGAGAAATATACTGAGGAGAAGAAAGATAGGCCTGTGTGGAGGGTACATGTGAAAATTTATGTGTGAAAGAGTGCTTTGTGAAAATGATAAGATCCTTTCATAATAACTGTCCTAAAATTAAAACATCTTTGAAGATGATTTTTCTTATGTTAGTCCTGAGATTCTTGGTTGCTCAGTTTGATCATTTTTCAAATAGACTATCACAGTCACTAGGACCTGGGAGGCACAGAATTAGAGAGGAAAATAAAGAAAGCTTGACTGGGGGCCGGGGATTTAGCTCAGTGGTTTTGCAACCTGCTGCGCAAGCGCAACGACCCAAGTTCGATCCCCGGTACCAAAAAAAAAAAAAAAAAGATTAACAAGAAATCTTGAAATTTATTTTGGAGAAGGTGCCGTGTAATGAAATGGGAAGAGAAAGGATAATAATAAGAGAACAGTCACTGTAGCTGGATTAAATGCTTGTCAATAAAGTTACAGCTTTGCTGAATTTTTAAACAGGGTGACTATAGATATTTTGGATTTAATCCCCCAAACATTCTTTTAAATATTATTAATGGCAGCAGTATTGTATTTCTGTTATAATAGACAAACAGGAATTAAGGCCCACAAATTTGTGTGTGTGTGTGTGTGTGTGTGTGTATGTCTTACATCTCTATGAGCTAAGAAACAAGGCTAGTTCTGAAAACAGTAAACTTCCTGTCATCATGCTTTTTCCTAGAAGTAATGAGCCCTGAATGGTAAGGTGTTTTGGAAACGGAAAGAAGGCGCTGTCAAGAATCTCAAATAAATCATCAAGATAATGAATAATAAGCAAGCAGTGCACTGAACTGAGCCTGAATAGCAGGCTTTTGCATGACTGCTAGGGGTTGTCTCCCTTACAGCAGGAAAACCTACTGTCAGGAGCTGAGCTGCCAGATGCCACAGTGGTCGATTAAAACAAAAGCCTACAATGAAGTAATAATTAAGCCTTTATTTGCTTACTGCAATAGTGTAAATAAGAGGCCAGAAAGAAGTTGTCTGTTCCATCAATGCTGCATTTTTCCCCCATGAAAGGGCACCAGCAAAGGTCAGAAGGACCAGGGCAGATGGAGGCACTTCCTTGCTGCTGAGGGAGCCTGAACAAGGAGCCAGAGACAGGAAAAAGGGGAAAGGCTAAAAGTAAAAAAGGAAAGAATATTAAGTTTTAGAAGACAAAAGTGACTCCATGGGCCCCAGAATAAGGCAGTCTGGCCGGAATCACGAAAGAGGGGTACTGGCCAAGGGCCCCGACAGGAGGCCTCCAAATGAAGGCTGCAAATGCTCAGGATCAAGGCCGACCTGGGGATCTGGGCGCCTGACTCAACTCCTCCAAACCACGGGTCAAGTTTGGGCTGGGGAGGGCAGCGTGGTGGCCTTGGAAATTGCCTGTGATGGAGCCCAAAGATCACATGTAGGGCTTTGATCTGGAGCTGGATTCCTGAGCTGCAAGTCACACTGCAGACTGCCCACACTAAGAAGACTCTGAGGGAGGGAGTCAAATAACTGACTTTGGATAAACTTCATTGTAAAACAGTAAAATAAACAGAATTAGAAGGAACAAATTTGAGAAATATCCTTTACCTGGAAGCTACCTCTTTACACAATTCTTGAAGCAAAGGGGAAAGGAGGTAGTGTAAAGTGAGAGAATTAAGTTGAGGGAAGAGTTTAGAGTGGAAGTAACATCCCTCATGGTCTTAGTTATATATGACTTTATTGATACACATATATAGTTATTTAATTATCGACTTTCTTCTTCATCTCCAAAATGACATCTCTCCATTTAGCTATCTACGTAATGATAATCCAGATAATATTTTCAGTCTATACAGCTTGCTATATAATTCTGCCATTGGTAGTTGCCTTGTACTTAATTATAACTTAGAACAGTATGCTCCTTGTGTTACAACTTTTGTTTCTCTAAAATGCCCTACCTAACACATTAGAGTGCTAGAGATAGTATTTTTTGTGTAATTTACTGTAGCATTATATTTACTGAAATTATCAATTGACAAGGGCACTGAGTGAAGCATAATAAGATATGCAATGGAAGATGTCTTGATGACATTTGGCTTAAACACTACAGGGTAATATTTTGTATTCTTTTATGGCATATATTGGGGCCCAAAATCTTCACCAGATGCCTCAAAACAAACTGAAGGCCAAAATAAACTAACATAAAAATACTCTAGTATTTTAACATAGTTTGAATACTATACATTTTCATATTGCTTCCTTTGGGAAGCTGCACTTACAATAAGGAAGACTGCATATACAGTAAGTCCTTAGCTTACGAACAAGTTCCCTTCCAGGAGAACGTTCATTAAGTCAATTTGTCCATAAGTCTGACCAAGTGAGGCTTACACACTTTTGACACAAATGCAAGGTGTATATAGCTTTGTGCTTCCTAGCAGTTCCCTGCATGTCACCACTGCTTTTCCTCTTGCTTCTGGACACCCTGAGCTCTGAGTGAGCCCTGTACTACTGTGCACCATCACACTGTGCATTGAGCACACGGCAGCACAACTGTGACAGTGTCCAGCAGATAGGTGAGTTGCTTCCACGATTTGTTTGCATCTGGGAATGTTTGCAATGCAAGGTTCCTTGCTATCTCTGAAAGTTCTCAACTTGAATGCTCATAAGTCAGGGACTTACTCTAATATAAAAATAATTAAATATTCAAATACCCCCATTTAAAGTATTTTCATTTTTAAAATGTTAAGGCCAGGATATTTAACAATGTCAATAATTTGGTTACATTGAGGCTATGACTCCAACATTCCCTCACAGGTCTCCTTTGGGTCATTAGTAATTTGGCACATTTTGCCTGGGTAACACGGGTCTTTTAAAATACTTACTGAACTGTTTGCAGCTAAATATGAAGCAATTGCACTCTAAAAGTGTGAGTTCTTCTTGAGACAACCTAGAGTCAGCAAACAGATGTGCATGCGAATCAGTGAGATTTGGCACTAGACACCTGCTGTCCTTCAAACTGGCCTGTGTTCTCTGAGTCCTCTCCACATTTACCTGCCCACTACACATATTTATGTCACAATCTAGGCCTTGCTAACACTTGAACTTGTAATTT